AGGGAGCCCGATGCGGGACTCGATCCAGGGACTCCAGGATCATGACCTGAGCCGAAGGCAGTTGCTTAACCAACTGAGCCACCCAGGCGCCCTCCTTGCTCATTTTCTTAAGAATGTGTAATTAATGGCTTCTTGAGAATTTAAGCAGGTGTCATACATTGATTTAAATGTCCTTTTGTTGAGAAATCTATTAATTCACCAGCAGCACGTAACAAATGAGGAGATATGGAAAGCCAGACCTCTAATTAACAAACCAAGGATCCCTCAGTAACTCCTTCCTTGATTCTTGCTTCATTTTCTCTTTTATGTAACTCGTGGTTCACATCATTTCATCTTCTTTATTAGTAATCTCCCTTCGTGTCACTTCTGTATGATTTAGCGGGACTCTGCCTCAGGTGAAAGAGGAAGAAGCTGCTAGGTTTTGTTTGTTTTTGTGGCTTAATCGCAAATGAGTTTCTTTCATTCTCTCTGCTCCTGGGAATGTGCTTTTCCACAAGGTTTGGTCCCCGGCTTCCTCGCTCTGCACCTGCTAGAGGGGCAGGGGTCTCATCTACACCCCTGGTGTCAACTGCTTTCCACATACTGATGACACTCAGACCTTCCTCTCCAGCTTTTCTTACGCACCCCCAACTGCAATCATAACACACCTTGGAGGCAACCAGCCACCTCCCCTCTCCGTCCCCCCAAACTCCTCCACGGATGACACCACTGTCCATGGTGCTAGCAGCTGAGTAACCATCCTCCCCATCATCCCATCAGTTCCAGTCATCCCACCACATTTACCTGCCCATTTCTCTCTCCTCCCATCCCATCCCTGCTGCCCCAGGTGACATTCGCCCCTTGTCATCTCTGCCCTGAGCCACTGGACAGCCTCCTGTTCTGCGCTGAATTATGCCCACCCCACCCCAACCCCTAATTGAAGCCCTAATCCCCCAGTATCTCAGAATGTGACTCTCCTTGGAGGTAAAGGCTTTAAGGAGGTAACTCAGTTGAAATGGAGTCATTATGTGGGCCCTGGTGTAATATGGCTGGTGTCCTTACGAGAAGAGGGGAGTAGGACACAGATAAAACAGTGGGATGACCACGGGAGAGCACAGTGGGAAGGTGGCTATCTGCATGGTAAGGAGAGAGGCCTTAGAAGAAACTAAACCTGCCGATATCTTGATCTTGGACTTCTAGCCTCTAGAACTTTGAGAAAATAAATGTCTGTGGTTTATGCCGACCGATCTGTGGTGTTTTGTTGTGGCGGCCGCAGCAAATCAGTACACGTCCTAACTGGTCTTTCTGTCACTAGTCTTGTCCCATCCATTCTCTTCTCACTGAGGCCAAACCAGGCTGTCCACAGTCGAGGTTCTTAACCTGGTGGCACATCGAAGTCACCTGGGGGTTTAAAGAATAGCTCTGCACAGGCTCCACCCCATAGTCTTGAAGTGACAGACTGGGGGGCTGGGGCATATGTGTATATGTGTATATTTATACAGTTGACCTTGAACAATGTAAGGGTTAGAGACACTGATCCCCCCCCACAGTTAAAAGTCCACGTATAACTTTTGACTTCCCCAAACTTTACTACTAATAGCCTACTGTTGACCAGAAGCCTTACTGACAACATAAACAGTGAATTCACACATATTTTGTATGTTACACGTATAATACACTATATTCTGACAATAAGGTAAGCTAGAGAAAAAACGTTATTAAGAAAATCATAAAGAAAATATATTCATAGTACTGTATTTATTGAAAAAAATCCGCATGTAGATGGGCCTCTGTAGTTCAAACCTGTATGGTTCAAGCGTATTTAAAAAGCTCAGCTGCTCATAATGCACAGCCCGAGTTGAGAATTGCTGACCCACAAGATCTAAGCTCAGCTGTTCGCTTGGCATAGGAGGCTTTCCTTGATCTGGTTTCTGTTTCTCCAAGCTCAGTTGTCAGTAGTCCCTGCTCAGCCTGTCTCCTCTGGGGACACCATACTTTTGGCCACACCTGGAGCCCAGCACATGGTATGAGCTCTCTAAAATGTTTCTGGCCCCAATGCTCCCTCCTCAGATTCTGTTTCTTCCATCTTCCAAAGCATAAAATTCTCTTAGATAGACCATCCTCACAACGGAAGGCTGTGAGCTGCACAAAATTGCAAAACCAACAGGAGGGCGAATGTTTAAACTGCTGTCAGCCTTTTACGTGTTAGAGCGAACTAAGGACCTAACAAATGATGAGTTCCCTTACTGAGAGCTTAGCATACACCATCCACTCTGCTAGCTCTTTTATAAACAATCTCATTTAATCCTCACGCAGCCCTATGGAGTCGATTCTCATTTTACAGAGGAGGCAACTGAGACTTAGAAGCTAAAGAACTGCCCAAAGTCATACAGCAAATGAGTCATGGGGCCTCAGTTAGAACCTAGGCCTTTCTAACTCTTCATAGTATAAAAAATAATGGCTGATAGGTTGAGTGCTTTCGATATAGCAAGTATCGTGCTAAGCTCCATTTTATGGATGCAGAGACTGAACTCAGATCAGTAAAGTTAGTGGCCCAAGGTCCAGGGGTAGTTAGTGGTGAGTTAGAGTTCCTCTTGGTCTGATGTGAAAGGTTGTGCTCTTAATGGCCCCATCCTGCTGCAAAACTTGATGGCACCACCCAGGGGAGCAGGAGGGGCTAAGCCAGGGGACAATAATACAAAGGACAAAAGTGTTCCTTCTTCACAATTATGCACAGCTGCCCAGGTCCCCCCAGAAACATGACCTTTGCCAAGACCCTCCTCATGACACTGTTTGAATTTACTATGTCTCAGGGAAGACAATGGAACAGTCTATCATTTCCTTCCTCTCAGATGTATGAGTCCTTCACTGGGTGGTGAGGCCCATGGTCCCCACCGCCAGCCAGCCTGAGTTTGACATCTAAGCTTGAAGAACTAAATATGTGATCTTGGATAAGTTACTTAACTTCTGAGCCTCAGTTTCTACATCGGTGAAATGGGGGATATTGACAGTGATACTCTTATAAGGTTGCAAAGATTCAATGAGTCAGTCTTGGGCAAAGCAATTAGAACAGTGATATATCATCAGGATATATCTTATCGGGCTATATCAGTGACAGATCGTCACTTGGCAGAGAGTGGCAGAAACATCTGAGGGTGTAAATCCTTGCAGGGTAAGAAGTCCCAAGACAAAGTTAAAGAGAAAAACAAAATAAGAAGAAAAACAACCCAAACTCAAAATGTCCAAGTTCTCCTGTTGAAAAAAAAATTCTCGTTGAGAATTCCAATATTTGAACAGCTCAAGCTTCAGTCCAATTCCAGGCTCATCACAGACAACAGAGTGTCCCCTGGAGTTTGAGCTGAAACGCCAGCTCATTGGCAGCACACTTGTCAGGGTCAAGGAGACAGAGTGGATTCTAGGGCCTTCTTGCTAGAGGGCGACTTTGGGCAGCCGGAAAGAGCCCCGTCTTCGGAGCTAAGCCAGCCTGGCTTCAGGGCCTGCTCTACAGAGTGACCATAAGCTGATAGCTTCACCTTTGGAGCCTCGGTTTCTTTGCTTACAAATCAAGGACAGTGATATTTGGGTCGCAGCCCTATGGTGAGGATGAAGTGCGAACAAAGCTTTAAATACCCGACACAGAGATGGTTTCAGTTAAAGGTAGTGGGTGTCATTATTCGAATTGTTGCTATTCGCTTGGTGGCCTCCCCAGCTGAGACACTGAGCAGGCCGTGACGCCCGCTGGGTGCTGAGTCCCAGCACAGTCCCCGCTTCCTAGGTTCGCAGCGCCCCCCGGAAGGGACCCGGGGCTCTGCAGGGCCATAGCAGTCTCAGGAATGGGGCTGCAGGCTAGAGTTTGTGAATATAAGGACTTTTCTTAACTAACAGAGAGGGTCAGAAGGGAAATCAGGCCTGGCTCCTTGTTCTCTGAGGCTTCTTTCCCAAACTCATGCAGATCCAATTTTGTCACCATCTGCCCGTGGCATGTGCAGAGCGCAGGAAGCCCTTTCCAGGACCCCTCATGGTATTGTTAATAGACTTCATTATACTTCATTATGTTTAAGGGGAGACCATGAAACCACAGAACTGGTCTCTTGATAAGCAGCCAAAATTTACACATCAAAATGAGTCTGATTTTCTTCAGAGGAGTCGGATACTTCAGAGGCTAGGCGCCAATTCAAAACATTTTGTGAACTCTCCCTTTGGGTTCATCCTTAGAGCCTCTAGCACATTCTTGCTCGCATCCTCGGAGTGAACATGCCCTCTTTTTTTTTCCAGGGTAGATTTAATTTTTGGAAATAGCCAAAAGATATTTGAAGCTGAGCCCGCTAAATAAAAATGGTTAGGCATGCAGGATAATAACACTTTGGGATAAAAAAAAAAAAAAACAAGATTGTACTTAGAAAATATTGATTTACCTTTTTTGATGCTGTGTGTAATCAGACTCTGAAATCAGCGGCATGAAAGTGGTCTTCTGGACAAGCTTGAGCAGCCGGAGTGAAAGGGGAATAAATTTTGCCCTCCCAAGGCAAACGCTTTGTTTGATAGGAACAAAAATGCCCACTTAGACAGATGAGATGTGACACATTCATTTAGGAAGAATCTGATCTCATGGCATCGTGAACACACTTCATATTTCAATCATTCATATAGTTTTTACTTACGCGATTGCTAGTTTAAGAATAACGTCCTGGCTCTTGTGTGCCCAAATCATTTGGATATTTCCCTTCTCCCCCTCCTTCCCTTTCCTTCCTTCTTCCCTCCCTCCCTGTCTCCCTTCCTTCCTTCCTTTTCAGGCGTATGTTGAAACAATTAGACTGAAGGATGATGAAACACTCAAGGTACAGACCAAAGAGGACGGAGATGTCTTTATGTGGTTGAAGCATGAAGCCACCCGAGGCAATGCGGCAGCTCAGGTAAAAAAAAAAATGTGGTCCACTGTTTTGGAAGCCCATCAGTTGTAATACCCAGGTTCTGCCATGGTAACAAAATATCTCAAACCTCACTGGCTTAAAACTGCACGGGTTAGTTTCTTGCTCCCGATATCCGTCTGATGAGGAGAGCATGTGCTGAGCTCTCGTAGACCCCTACGAATGGAGCTAACAGGGGCTTCACTGCAACACAGGCCCCCGCAGCCATGGCTGCTCAGAAATGGCACAAGCCACCTCTCACATTTTATGGCCAACGAAGTCACGTGGTCTGTCTTGACCACGCGGGCCGGAAGTGCACCCAGAAGGAGAGAGAGCCGCACGGTTTGTGATCTGTCCTAAAGACTATCATCAGACATTTTAGGACATTAGATAGAAATAAAAAGAGTGCAGGAGAGATTAGATGGATATCAGGAAGAAAGCCATGAATTCAGCTAGGAGAATAACAGAAATCAGGTTCAGCATGACCAACGGACCAACCTTGGCTCTTGAACATGTCTTGTTTCTTGGATGGACTTTTCTGAGGTACCAGGAAGGGCAGAAAGCTGGGAGAACTTTCTCATCTGACTTCTTGCCTTGATTTCACTATGAAGAGAAACCCTTGACGGGAGCCAGCTTAGACAGATTGCACTGGGAGGGAGAAATCTCCCTTCCCGAAGAATGGCCTTAGCTTTTGCTTTGTGCTCCTAGTGAGCTTACAGTGTGGTTAAGGGCCTCTGGGTCTGCTAAGCAGGCAGAAGCCCAGAGATGGGAAAAAGAAAGAAAACAGAAAAGACAAATGCATTGACAAGCAAGCATTTCAGAGACCCTTTAGTAACGCTAGGTCTTCCTAGAGTTTCAGGAGATACTTTGCTGGAAGTTATAAGTACTTGAGTAGAGGGTAGAAAGAAAAGGAGATGAGAGAAGAAGCAGAAAGGAAGAAAGACCATCAGGGGCCAGAATGGGGCTAGAATGTTAACCAACATTCCTCTGCTCCCTTCTCAGGCATCCGTCCCCAGCCTGCAGTCTTTCTAGTGCAGGAAGGAATTCCAGTGCCTAGTTCTGGACATACCACTGTCAGAGTTATTTCCTGGGTGCTCCAGAGCTTGTATGAACTTTCCTGCCTTCATTCAGCAAATCTTTGTTGAGTAGCTTCTACGAGCTTCTGCTGAGCTTTGCTGAGTGAGGGCTGAGGGGAGAAAGACAGACAAATCACATCGTGAGGTTCCGATCCCCAGAGAGCTCCCCGCCTCGAATGTCATGGTGGAATGAGCCATGTGGACAAATGCTGGAGTGGGAGGAGCTGAGTGCCCTTCTGATACGGATGTGCACAGGCCTCCAGGCCACTCACTAGGCTCAGGGGACAGCGTGTACCTTCCAAAAGAAAGGGGCTTTGAAGAGAGGAGACAGTCATTGTCGACCAAGTCTCACCCGGCTCTGGCCCTGGGTGCGATAGACTGACTCACATTCACGTGCAGACATGCACTGTTTCCAATTGGGGCTAAGAACTTGTATTTACACAGGTTCACCTTTCAGGGCTCCAGCCCCCAGTTGGAAGATGACACGTGTCTACCTAATTCCTGGTTCTCAATATGAAAACATTTGAGCTAGGTTTGTCCTTCCACCTTTTAAAGTCTTACGTTAAGCATTACACAGGAAAGTCCTTAATCTAAATTGCTACTGTCTTGAAGCAACGATTGGCCCAGATGCTGTTCTGGGGCCAGCAAGGCGTGGCCAAGAATCCTGAGGCAGCGATCGAGTGGTATGCCAAGGGCGCGCTGGAGACCGAGGACCCTGCATTAATATATGACTATGCCATTGTGTTATTCAAGGTAAGAGTCCCTCAGTTTGGGCTAAAATTACGCAATTCTTATCAGGCTTCCCGAGCAGTTTCCCGTAGGCGTGCAGGCAAACGAGGATTCTGTAACTGGAGAAACTCAGTATATGCTTCTGTCACTCTTGATGGAAAGGGATATTTGCTGAAAAGGCACAGTCAGAAACAGTCCCCGGTCTCATTTTTTAATCATTAGTCTTATGTTTGGCACCTGGATTCTCTTTGCTTTTGCAAGAACTGTCTAGAGGAAGCACCCCTATTTTATGGATTGGAAAAAAAACGGCCACCAGCCCCCAGAGGTTCTGCAAGTTCACCACCAGACAGAGTTGTCATTGAATTACAGCTTAACCCAAGTGCGTGTTTGGGCTGGCTCCCAACAGTCTGGTTGGTCAAAACAAAGATCTTGTTTTAAGCCGGATGGGTTGAAAGGGCATTAGCCCAGGAGACAGAGAATGGAATTCAAGTCCCTCCTCCGCAATCATCAGCTATGTGTCCTTAGAGTTATTTGATCTCATGGGGCAATGGTAATGACCAGAGATTGAATGAGATAACATAATGAATGGGCTTCAAGAAATGTAAAATACTGTCTTAAAATTCTCGTAGTTTGCACTGATTGAGCACTTATTACATGATTTACATGTATTAACGCATTTAAGCCTCACAACCACCTTGTGAGGTAGGCACGGGGGTGCATCATGATTGCTGTTTGTATATGTGGTAACAGAGGCAGAGAAAGGTTTTTTAATTTGCCCAGGGTCACACAGTTGGTACATTTTAGAGATCTGGGACTGGGATCCAGGGAGTTCGGCTTCAGAGTCTGTGTTCTTCACCCCTAAACACAAGACATCAACTCACCAGCCTTGGAAAAGCAAAACTCTCTTGATTTTGGGAAGGAAGCCCTTGGACCCCATGTCATGCCCAAAGAAAGCCGCTACCCTCATAGCGAGTGTCTCCAAACAAGGACATGGAGTCACGTGGCCAGGTCCATCTTCAGAACCACAGCTGTGGCCGCTCACTGATTAACAGCCATGACTTTGCTACATTTCTAACCCTCTATAGCCTTAAAACCTATTGGTTCATATGGTTTCCAAATATAGGGTCTGGATGTTCCTTTTTCAGTTGTCAAGTCAACATAGAAATGGTTTGACTCCTAGCCATATGCCGAAGCATCCATGTGTTTATTCAATAAACACCCATTCCAGGCTGACGAAACGCCAGACTCTACGCTAGAGGGAGGGACAGATGGATGTGTGCGCCACATCCCCGACCTTAAGGGGCTTGTGCAGTGGTGGGGAGGGCAGGCACAGAGAGGCACCGGTCCGCCGGAGCTGGGGCTGGCCACTGTCAAAGTGCAGAGAAAATAACAGCATGAATCAGACATTACTTCTGCCCACCAGGCGCTCACCATCCAGAGGGAGAGGCAGATACAGGAAAAATGACCCTGGAGGTGACGGATTGTCTGCTTTCCCAACCTTAAAGATTTTGGGTTCTCCCGCATTCTAACGAAGAATCCCTCAGTGGGACAAGGGAAGGCCCTTATCGGTATTTCAGTAACGGGAAGATTTTACCTCTGGTCAGAAGGTCACTTTAAGTGTGTTCCATGTGAAATAACCCCATGCAGAAAATGAGCTTCCCAAATGTGAAGAACAGTAGTGTGCTCTGGAGCTCTGTGTGGGCATTTGGCACATTGTAGGACGGCGCCATGGTGGCTACAGCTTGGCCAAGACAGTCTAAGCCATCCCGTCTTGCATCCACATGAGGATAGCACTTTGACTTTTACTGTAGCAGCTGTTTTCCATGAATTCACCCAGTGGACACTACTGAGCACTTACTATGTACCAGGACTTTACATTTCTCTCACTTAACAACTTCCAGTGTGACTCAGATTTGTGCTTAGTGCAGGGTCTTTGTGCAAGAAATTATCCCACTTAGGTTTACATAACAAATATTCTGGAAAATACTTGGTGCCTAGAAATCAGAGTACCTGAATTCTAGTCACCGATCTAACTGTGAGGCTTTGGGTAAGTCATCCTCCCATTTTATGCCTTCAAAGCAAAGAAGTTGGAGAAGATAAACCTTGAGTTCAACCAGGTTCTAACGTTCTGTCGTCCTGCTCTTTTCTGCGCTTTTCCAGAAAGTCCAAAAAGGTTGTCCCATTGCCCCATCCAGTTATTCCACGTAGCCTCCGTGTCCTTTTTCCTTTCCTCTTCCTCTCTATTAAATGAAGTAATGGTGCATTTCTGAAAAATATTTTCATCTTCAACTTTGCTTCAGCTCATCAGTTTCATTAAGTAGGTAACTTGAAGGCTAGGAGAAACTTGGTGTATATAATTTAACTTTTAGTTGGATTCGCAGTTTTATTTGGGGTCCTGAAAAATACAGAGACAAACATATTCTGCACGTTTTCTGTACGGAGGTTATGAATCATTATACGTTCTCAGCACAGAACGGGAACGCATAGGAGGAAGTAGAGTGTGCTAGTTACAACTTGGACTCTGGAGCCTGCCTGCCTGGGTTCAAATCCTGCCTCTGCATCTCACTTACTGTGCGATTCTGGGCAAGGGCTCAGATGGGAATGCCAGCAGCATCTCCATAAGCTTGTGGTGAGGATTAGATGGAGCAGCACAGTGCTGAACCCACCGCTTGAATTAACACAGGGATGTTTGCTCGTCTGTCTTCACTTACTGCAGTGCTATTTCAGTAGAGCTAGAAGTTCTATTGGCACAAAGCACCCCCAACATTATATCACATGTGACCCCATCAACCTCTGTGTCTCTGGCCAAGAAGTCTCCATGGGGCACATGGGGTGAGTGTGTCAACACAGACGCTAGGTTGGTTTAGTAGCAGCGATGGATTTCATCCGGTTTCCCTTGCCCACCATCTTCATTGTCAGTCCTGTGGTGAGAGAGATCTTGAGGCCCTCTCCCACTCTACCCTCAGACCTGTCACTTCCCCACACGGTCCTGCGGACACCTCGGTGAGGTCCCACAAAGTTCCTCTCTTGTAGCAAGAACCCCAAAGCCGTTTCTCGCTGTGGCAGTGCTCAAACCGCCTCTAGCTGGAAAAACTCTGTAGCAGGAGGAACCTTGTCAGTTTCTGTCAGTATCTGACGCAACAGATTCCAAGGGGTCCTATCTCCTTCACAGCTGGCTCTTGAGCTGGTCCACCCTGGAGACTCCCGAGAGGACCCAGGAAGGCTGCAGAGGACAACCTAATAACTTCCGACTGTCCCGTCACAGCTCAAGGGCTGTATGTGGCTCGCAGACGAGGCCAGCCACAGAGAAACGCATCCAGGATGACCAGACTCACTTACTTGTTCTTCAGGGATTCTCCCAATAGTACCTGTGGATTGACAGGAATGGGATTCACTCGATGATAATGGGGGGTTTGTATGGATGCTAAGCGGGCAAGGTGAGGTCTGCTGCCTCTGCACCACACATATAAGCAAGATAATAGTGAGGATGATGATGATGATGGTAGAGAGTAGTTCTGCGTGTAGAAATCTTTAAGATAAGGCTTTTAATGAAGAAGGCTTGGGTTTTCTTTTTGAAGTATTTTATGTGGAGCACTGATACACCTGCGTCATGTTTTCAAGCGCGCTCTGGGTTTATTTTCTTCCTACTCATTGCTGTTTATCATTGTTTAGGGTCAAGGAGTGAAAAAGAACAGACGGCTTGCTTTGGAGCTGATGAAGAAAGCGGCTTCCAAGGTAACACTTTCGCATATTGTCAGAGGGAAACATTTGCACCACACACACCCACACGCTCACAGGGCTACGAGAATAAATGGCCAGCCTTTGGCCCGGCCCATGGAAAACGGAGTGGGGAGGGAGGGGTCGCTGCCATAGTGGTGATTAGTCATTTTGGAGCTGCAACACGTACAGAAACCCGCCACAAAGGGGACGGCGGAACTCAAAAGCTGAATTCACCTTCCAGTCAATAGAATTCAGGCCGATTTTGTTTGAAGGCTAAAATTATAATCACAGGCTGCCCAGATAACAAGCAGTGGGGGGAGGGGGGGAGCGGGGCTCCTTGGAATTGAATGGGCATGTAGACAAGCCATTGAATTAGGAAGACCCAAAGCCGAATTCCTTTGGAGGTTAACCCTATCGTGTCCAAAGCCCGTGTCCTGCCCGTGCCTTAATAATGGGGATGTATATCAAGTTGACGGCCAGGTTTAAAAATTGCTTTGTTTTTGTCACTGTTTTCTTTAAAATGTTGTCGTCGAGTCAGCTGGTTTCACTATGGCACTGCAGAATGGAGGTTAAATATCACCTGTGAGGGGACACACACACGTACAATGCGTTGCACACCCACACACGCACGCTCACAGGTGCATGCATGCAACTTGCCAATAAATTCGTAGAAACCACTCTAAGTCTACAACCTCGACAGAGTCCTTTATAGCCCTTCTGGCGCTTGAAAGTGCCCCCCTCCCCAAGGCTGCTAATACTTGCCTTATCAACAAAGACTCCTCAAGTACCCATGCTGATTTCTTTTTCCCCTCGTCCTCCCCTGAGAAGTTCAGAGTCTCTTTTTGTGTGTGTAGAACAGGAGGTTGGAGCATGGAATAAGAGAGCAAAGAGGCTTTCCATCCACCTTGGTGGTGTCAAGAAGGCACGTGACCCAAGAGAAGGGAGCCCACCGAAGCGCACACCAGCTCCTGCCCGCCCCCCCCCCACACAAAGTAAAGGGCAGATTAACGGTGGGCATTCGGTCCAAAGCATCCTAAAATAGGGCAGTGATGGGGTTGCCCCAGCAGCTGTGAAATTTGCATCTCTTTAGCCATCCTAGGGGTGAGCTGATGTCTAATGTGCTTTGTTTTGAAGGGATTCTTAGCAGAGCTTAGGTGAGGATTGGGAAATGCTGCGTTATGGCCTGGAGTCATCATATCCTTAAAAGTGTTATGTGATTCTCACTCATTGACTCAGCAAGGCATTTTGAGGCCCCTGCTCTTTGTCAGGCACTGTGGTGAAGGTCCCATATAGTTTGGTTTTCGGAATTAGGGAAAAGTCACTTGGGAGCAAATCTGGTGATTGAGCTGTACATGTCAAGAACAGAATATGAAAAGTAAGCGAGAAAGACGGGGTTTCTTGTGGGGCTCCAAATGCAATTCCTCATGGAGTTCTGCAGATGTTTTGAGGGATGACAGGTGCATCTGAATAAGCCTGTGGCCTCTGGCTTTGCAGCAAAAGTCACTGTGCTGTGTACATTCCATAGGCTTGTTCCGAAGCTGGCTGTTGCCACTTTATGGTATGGCCTGGTCCATTACATGGTTGAAAGGCATTCTGCCAGACTTTCCAAGAGACCACCGTGCACCTGGTTCAGCATGCAGCTCAGGAAGAAGGCCTCGATGACTAGATCCATGGCACTGACACCCTTCCTGATGTCAGCTGGCTTGGGAGTCAGTTATCTCGGGGGCCTGCAGATCTGAACCCTACTCTCCATCCTCAAGGTGTAGGATTTGGACTTCCAGCATTCAAAGGGTGGCTTTCGTTCATTCGTCAGATATTTATTGAGCACCTACTCTGTAGCAAGCACTAATATAGGTTCTTGGGACACAAAACAAAGATTCCTGCCCTCATGGAGCTTCTATTTTATTTTATATATTTTTTAAGATTTTATTTATTTGAGAGAGAGTGAAAGCGAGAGAGATCACAGAGCTCCGGAGAGGGGAGAAGCAGACTCGCCACTGAGTGGAGAGCCTAATGTGGGGCTCGATCCCAGGGCCCTGGGATCATGACCTGAGCTGAAGGCAGACGCTTAACCAGCTGAGCCACCCAGGCATCCTGGAACTTCTATTTTAATGGGCTTTGTTAGTTTCTTTCCCCCTGGTCTTTCTGGCACCCGGAGTACGACAGAAATCTAGGAAGTGTAGCTTTTTAGCATCCACCGCAGACTGAAAAGGCTCAGCCTGGGATCTTGGCATCTGTTCTCAAGGGACACCCATCCTTCACTGGTGAAAGGTGGTGAAAGAGATTTGGTTCTATACTTAGACTCTGATTTAACAAGTTTTACAGATGCAAGGCACTATTTGACCCTCGGATCCTTTCTCCCCTGCTTCTTCATGGTTTGGTGGGCCTGGCAGAAAGGGAGGTATGAGAACCCTGTATGCCCAGGTCTACACACAGGTGTCTCACTGTGGGGCCGGAGGCTCCTTCCGGAGCACTCACACCCCTGCAGGGCTTCTGAGCCCTCAACAACCAAACTGCAGGCTGCCCTGTGGAAGCAGTGGGAGCATCTGGGGAAAGCACACGGGAGTACCTGCTAGAATGAAATCAGCAAGCACAAGGAGGCTCCAGACTCGATTTGCTTAAAGCACTTCCTCGGTACCAGCCCCAGGTCTAGACACAGTTTTAAAACCCTCCTCCCAGAGACCCTGGGTGGCTTAGCTGGTTAAGCGCCTGCCTTTGGCTCAGGTCATGATCCCAGGGTCCTGGGGTCGGTGGAGTCCCACATCCGGCTCCTTGCTCAGCAGGGAGCCTGCTTCTCCCTCTGCCTGCCGCTCCCCCTGCTTATGCACTTGCTCGCTCTCTCTCGTTTTCTCTCTGACAAATAAATAAAATCTTAAAAAAACCCAC